ATCGTTTCGCCTTATTTTAGACATTTATGCCTTTTTCTAGATGGTTTTAGATAGTTTTAGAGTGGCTGTAGATGTTTTTGAGGTGGTTGTAGGTGGTTGTAGATGGTTGCAGGTGGTTGTAGGTGGTTTTATGTGGTTTTAGATGAACTTAATGAGGATTTCAGAAAGCTTTCTTTACAAAGCGCAAAGTGAAGTCTACAAAATTAAACTTGTCTAGGTAAGCTTGTCTTCTTTATCGTTTTGTTAAAAGACCTCTTTATACTTGGAATTATACTGATTTCGATAAAACTAGCAGAGACATGGTGGCCAAACTATCAAGGTCATTGTGTTGTGTTCTTTCGCGAGAAATTTTACTGTGGGTAAGCACCAGGGTGTATAAATGTAACAACAGTTCAGGTATTAAAAAAAAAAATGAAAATTGAATAAATATGTGTAGGCAAAGCTTTTAAGCTTTCGAGCTCTTCTCAATATTCTAGAGAATGAAGATTCTTCTATGGAGCCCGATGAGATAATGCTTAAATTCAAACACAGCAAAATTGAAACAAATCTAACCAGTTGTACAATATTTTTCGTACACCTAAAAACTCTAGGACTTTTTCTCCTTTAAAATGAACGTCTTTCATTTTCCTTTTGACTCGTGGAAACGCGATAGCGTAGAAACGAGTTGTTGTAGGTACTTTGGGATGTGTAAATTGGCGTGGACTCCTCGTAATTAGTCGTAATTAGTCGGCTCCGAACTCGAGATCTATCCTTCCAGAGAAGTCCGAAGTCCTGGTGCCATTGTGATTGCATCGATCGTTGCGATGTTTATTGTCTTTACACGGCAGTTTCGAAGGTTCCAGATTAGCGCTATGATCAAATTAGAGACCAAATCTGAAGGGTCTTCGAAGAGTCCATGCGCTAAACATAACGAGGAGCAGCGAGAATCACGAAGAGTTTGTGAGTGACAGAGCAAGCTGTGGACATGGAAATTCCTACGGAAACATGTACCCAGGACATAAAAAAAAGTGTCAGTTTACTGCATCGAACGTTTCGGCGGCTACGCTAATTTCGGTCTTTTCGTTATGGTCGTTTCGTTTCATTGTTTTTCTATGCAAACGCGACTGTTTTGATAATAAAAATGATATATGATCGGTTTCTACAAGTCGTTACCGAGCACGTGACCATAATTTGGCCGGTGTTGTTTTGATCACTTGACGGTCTTCCAATTAATTTCTATCGCATCCGTGTAAAAAAAATACAAGTATATGGGTGTACTGAGAAACAAAAGGGAAATTCAAAACTAAGAGAAATT